AAATCATAAACTTAATACTAAAATTACAAAACCTCTCTAGATACCTTTACCACAGACAAAACCCTCCCCACCTTTGGAGAGTGGCTGGCTCTCCCATGGGCTCAAGGTACCTTACTGTGTGTGAATCCTTCAGTTTGCAGCCTTTTCTCAGAAGCTTGTCTTTTTTTCTATACTCTGAGCCAAAATGTTCCCCACAGGCCAGGAGCCAGGCTTATATAGTCCTAGGCCGGGGGTGGGCAAAATGGCTGATCCAGCCAGCAGCCGGACTCCATTTAATAGCAGCTCCTCCCTGCATGGCTGGGGCCAGTCTCCATGGAGACCCCAGCCCAGCTGCGGTGAAAGCTCAAGGCTAGGGTTGCCATGGAGACCAGCCCCAGCTACACTGGCAGGGCACATGGCAGAGCAGGGCAGGGGGCTGCTCTGGAGCCTCTGGGATCTTGTGATGGGGGCAGCTTGCTCTGGACCCAGGGCAGAGCCATGATCTGTAGCCTGCACACTCTGGGCAGGGGCACGCAGGCAGGGGACAGCAGCTCTGCGTCTGCTCCAGACTAAGCTGTTACGACTGCAAGGAGCCAGTGCAGAGCCACAATCCCCTGCCTGCGCACCCGTGCCCAGAGCATGCAAGCTACAGATTGCAGCTCAAGGCCCTGGCTCTGCTGTGTGCCCTGCCAGCATGCCTGGGGCTGATCTCCCTGGCAACCTCAGCCTTGAACTTTCACAGCGCAGCTGCAGCTAGGGTCTCCATGGAGACCAGCCCCAGTCATGCGCAGGGGTGGCTGGGAAATTGAGTTCACTGCTGACCAGATCTGGCCTGTGGGCCAGACTTTGCTCATCCCTATCTTAGGCTCTGCCCCCTTCTAGTCACTTGATCTCTTAATCTGTTAACTGGATGCAGAGGTTACATATTACTGTCATCAGCAGTCTGCCCAGCTGTGCTGCAACCATCACCTAACTAGCTTGTCTGAAGCTCTACCCCTGTAGCACAGGCATAGGCAACCCCAGCACGTGCCAGAGCATGGCATGCAAAGGCATTTTACTTGGCCCACACGCCTTGGGGCGGATGGTGGAGAAGGGGCCTGGGCTGTGCTGCTACAACAGAGATCAGACCCCTCGTCACTCCCCCACCTTCCACCCCTGGCATGCTAATATCTTAGAAGTTGAGGTGGTGGTGTTTTTGACGCTGCCTGAAAGCGTTGCCAACCCCTGGTGTAGCATATTTCTTTTGCAGCTTGCTTCAGGTTAGTTGCTTGCAGCTTTTGCAAATTGAGGTTCTACCTCCCTTTAACTCTATTGTGTGAACTCTGTCTCAATAATAGGGGTTGAGGCTTCTGTTACACAGGCGTTCAGGTATTTGAAGATGGCTATATCATATCCCCGCTTAAGTATCTGTACTGCAAGCTGAATATGACTATTTCCTTCCATCTCTTTGTATGCCTGGCTTTCCAAGCCTTTTATCATTTTTGTTGCCCACCTCTGGCCACTTTGTAGCTTCCTCATATCCTTTTTAAAATGTGGAGTCCCAAACTGTACACAATACTCCAAATGAGGACTAGCGAGTGTTGAGTAAAGAAGCACTACCACCTGCTGTATCTTGCACCTCCTATTGATGCAAGTCAAAATCCTGTTTACCTTCTGTGTAGCTGCTTCACATTACAAACTCATGTTGAGTCTGTGATCTATGAAGATTCCTAGATCCTCTTCTAGTGCTGCCTTGCAGCCAGATGTCATCTATTTTGTATTTTTGTATTTGTGTCTGATCATTCTTCTCAAGGTGCAGCGCCTTGCATCTGTCAGCACTGAACTTTATCCTGTTAGCACCAGGCTGGCTTTCCAACCTGTCAAGATCCTTCTGAATTGCACACCAGGCCTCTAGTATATTTGCAATGCTTCCTAGTTTTATGTCTGCAGATTTGCTCAAGAAGCTCTCTGTTCTGGTATCGAGGTCATTAATAAACCCACTGAATAGCACCGGGACAAACCCCTGTGGGACTCCACACAAAACCTCCTGCCATTCTGACATGGATTCATTTATGATTATCTTTTGCTTGTGGCTATTGAGCCAGCTGTCGATCCACCTTGTGCAAGTTTTTGACTGGCCCACATTTCTCCAATTTGTTTATGAGAAGAACATGCAGCACTTTGTCAAAAGCTTTGCTAAAGTCTGCTGCATTCCCTTCATTCTCCCACCTAGTTATCATGTCAAAGAAAAAAATCAAGTTTGTTTCGTACAGTTTGTTCATAATACATCCGTGCTGGTTGCTCATTATCAGCCTTTCCTTTTCCAGATGCTTGCCAATGACTCCCTTATGATATGCTCCCAGTAACTTCCCAGGTATGAAGGTGAGGCAACCCAGTCTATAATTCCCTGGACCCCACTTTTTGCCTTTTTAGAGTGGTACTATGCTGGCCCTTTTCCAGTCCTCTGGTACCTTGCCTGTCTCCCACAGTTTCATGAAATATTATTGCTAATGGCTCTGAAATCCAGATCTTTTGACAGTTCCTTTAGTACCCTGGGCTGAAGTTCATCAGACCTTGCTGACTTGAATTTATTCAGAAACATCAAAAGCTCTCTGCCTATTTTTTTTTAATCTCATCCTTCAGCTTGCCCCTTCCTTATCCAAATAAGTCTTATTAGCTCTCTGAGTACAACTTTTTTGTGTAGACTGAGGGAAAGAAGCTTTTTAATAGCTCCACCTTATTTGCATTTTCTCATTACAGTTCACCTTGGCTATTAAACAGTAGACTCGTATCTTCTGTGGTCTTTCTTTTTTGGCCAAGATATTTATAGAACCTCTTGTTGTCTTTAACTTCTCTCACCAGGGGCAGCTCATTTTTTACCTTTGCCTTCTAGATTTTATCCCTACAAGTTCTTGCTGTTTCTTGGTATACTTATCTGGTGACCTGCCCATCTTTCTATTGCCTGTATGCTTTTCTTTTGCGCTAGAGCAGGGGCAGGAAATTATTTTGGGTGGAGGGCCACTTACTGAGTTTTGGCAACCCATCGAGGGCCACATTACAGGCAACCCAGGGCAGATTAATATTAATTCTCTAAATGTTTTAGGGACCCCGCGGGCCGGATAGAATGGCCTGGCAGGTCGCATCTGACCTGCAGGCTGCATTTTGCCCACCCCTGCACTAGAGACTTCCTAGAATCTCCTTGTGCAGCCACATTGGTCTCTTACCACTCGTCTTGTGCGTCCATCGTGTCAGAATAGCCTCTTGTTGGGCTTCCAATACTGTGCCCTTCAGAAGCTTCCAGCCCTCCTGGGCACCTGTATCCTTCAGTTGGTCCAGGCCTGTTATCTCCTTGAGTCAGTTGAAATCTGCCCTTTTGAAATCCAGTATCTTAGAAAAAGCATGAGGTCAGCAGAACTATCTGAGGATCATGAGTTCTATCATTGTGATTGCTTCCTCCCAAGTTCCCCATCACCTTCACATCCTTCACCAATTCTTCCCTACTGGTCAGGACAAGATCCAAGACAGATGATCTCCTTTTTGTATCCTCATCCTTCTGGACCAGAAAGTTGTCCTCCAGATAAGTTGGGAAGTTGCTTGACATTTTATGTTTGGCTGTATTATTCCTCCATAAAACTGAAGCCTTCTCAGCTGTACATGAATGTTCAAGCCAGCTGAGCGGAGGCATACAAATGTGTCTTGTGCTCTCCTAATCATGCAGAGGATTGGGCACCATTCCAATCCTTAGACACAGATTTAAATAGTCTGCATGATGTTTTCATGTGTATCAGTTGAGAATGCCCCCAGGAGGCTGTTACTGTAGCTAGGGTTGCATGTGGAGATCTGATTTACCCTTACACTAGGAGCCATAGGTGTGGGTGGCATGGGTTCATTACAGAGTCTCTGAGACCTAAGGATTGTCCTAAGTAGGGAGATTTGGGGGCCACTGTGTAGATGGCTCAGGATCACAATTTCTTGTTTTAGCCCCAGAGTTTAGAACCTCCTGTACAGTGAATACAGGTTTTTGTTCAGTTTTATAATAATGTATTTTAAAGGAATTATTTTCCATTTCACATTATGTAACATACTTTGGTTCTGTGAAAATTTACCTAAAAAGTCACAAAAAATAAAATGTAATTTATAATCCAGGTCAGGACACTGTTCTCTTCCCTCATCCTCAAAGATTTAATTAAAAATGTAACATGACCAAGAGACGAATGTTTATCCTACTGTTGTAATTATAGCATTAATGCCTGCTTAGAACTGCCTGATACATTCTCTAAACTTTTCTTAAGATTGACATGCAGCGTTTTAAAGGTTGGTTTTGACTGATTAAACAGCTTTTCAAACAGTCTCCGTTCTCTTGGTCTAATTACTAGCCAGCATGCAAATGCAGCTAAATGAAAGATATTCTGGTAGCAAGAGAAAGCATGGACTTACCTGACAAATAGTCGCCCAGTCTCTCCTTTTGCTTTTTTGAAAGAGAGAGAATATTAGTGAGTGTTTGCTATGGATTCTAGTAGTATAATTATTTTTTACTTCTAGTTGAGATGATTAAATCTTAAGTTTTAAACATTATCAAGTAGCAGCCATTATCAAACTAGCATTTTTAATTTGTAATTACACAGCACTGTTTTTGTGCTTGTTTGATGCATGTGGAAGATCTGCATCTCTGAGGTTGCTAGAGGTATTCTAATTCTGTTTTCTTGACATTCAGAGAAATGTAATAACAAATTTTGCCAGGAAAAAAGCAGCTACAGTGAAATGACTGATTGTTTCCTACAAGTCTTAAAGTAGTAACAAAAATTTAAGCTTTTGGACTCTAAGGCTGAAGGACAAAACTTGCCACGTTGCTCTTGCTAATGCAGTTGTCATCTGGTTATTGAAGTTGAGTCTGGGTTTGTTTTTTTTAAGTGCATTTTTGACGGTTGAGTCAGAGAGAGTAAGCAAATAGATCCATGTTGACTGCAGTTTGGATTTTACATTCTGCATATTTAATTACACTGTAACTTTGCTAATACTCTTGATTTCTTTTTCTTTCACAGGATTCTGTGCAAGAGAGTGTGATTACACGAGACATTCATCGCACATTTCCAGCACATGATTATTTCAAAGATACCGAGGGAGACGGGCAGGAATCATTATACAAGATCTGTAAGGTACAGAGAAATCTCAAGCTACAAAAAAAAGTGTTTTTGTATGTGTGAGGGGTGGGATGGGGGGAGTGTCTGGGGAGGGAGACAGCAGAGGGGATTGCATGGTTTCCTGTTATTTTGTTTCTCTCAGGTAATTTTGACCTGATTCAGTTGACCAGTCAGTAGGATCTTAAAAACTTTAGTTGAATTACACATGTAATTTTAGTGTTCTCTCAGGATAAGGCCTATCAAGTAGACATTGTAATGGGATATTCTGTGTTGTCCAACGTGTGACTGGGAATTGAATGACCTCAAGTCAGTTTTGTTGATGGGCCATAAGGTTTCACAAGTCTGTTGCAGTAGTGGCCCAGGACTGCTGCTAGCTGTCTTGTGGAAAGTTTCCAGGGCAATAGAACTCCAGAGCTAGTTCTGCAGTGACCATATAGTAAAGAGCCTCCCTGCAGCAGTGGCACTAAGGTATAGGATATCTGACTTCCACGGATACCATTATTTAGTGCTTTTCGCTTATAGCTTTCAAAGCACCCAGTGAAGGAGGGAAAATATCATTACCTCCATTTTACAGAAGGGGAGACTATTGCACTATGTGAAGGGACTTGATTTGGGGTATACAGTAGGCCTGTGCAAAGCAACTAGTGTTCGATTTGGATTCAGATTTGGCTGATTTGGGGGACAGTGATTCGATTCAGTGATTCAAATCACTGTCCTGGATCAATTCGGCCAAATCTGATTCAGAGATTCACCCACCATCGAATTGGCTATATCTCTGAATCGGCCCCATGCCCTGCCCGCTCTCTGGCTGTCCTGCCTGCTCTACTAGCTCCCGGCTCTTTAAAAAAACAACAAAAACAAAAAACTCATTCACCAGCTGCTGCCAGGTGGGGGGACAATCCCCGCTGCCCCCCACTGCCCCATGCTGCATGGGGGTCTCTGCCACGAGGGCCCAGAAGCCCCAAGGCTGCTGCAGTAGCCAATGAGTCAGGGCTTCTTTTTTCTTAAAGGCCTGGCAGCTGGGGGGGCGGGGCAGCTATG